AGTTTCCATTTATGTTTCTTCTTTCCCACGAAGACAGATTTCTGTTGTTAAGAGATGCGATTTCCACGCAGGGGAGATAATATATTTCCAACGCAAAAGGAAAAACACTTCTCTTGCTCTTCTACCCCAAAACGACCCAAACCAAAAAGAAACAATCTTTGTCGGTTACAAGGGATGGGTGGGGTAACTTTGGTGAAGGGTAAGACAGTACACAATACTGGGGAAGCCAACACAACTTGTACAAGGAAAGGTCATGGAAGCTCCATAGACACATCCAAACTCCCTGAGGGACTGAATTGCTGGGCAGAGGGCTGTTAGGACCATGGTCTCGGGGAATAGCTAGCTCAATTGGCATAACACAGTTTATAAAGACAGTGTTCTACATTCTACCTTGGTGAGTAGCGTCTGGGGTCTTAAAAGCCTGTGAGCAGCCATCTAAGATACTCCACTGGTCTCACCCCTTCGGGAGCAAGGGACAATGAAGAGAACAAGATAAAAGGAAAAGACTAGTCCAAAGGACTAATGGACCACAGCTATCACGGCCTCCACCAGACTGAGTCCAGTACAGCTAGATGGTGCCCGGCTACCACCACTGACTGCTCTGACCGGGATCACAACAGAGGGTCCTGAACAGAGCTGGAAAAGGATGTAGAACAAAATTCTATCTCACAAAAAAAATACCAGATTTACTGGCCGAAAGGAGACTAGAGAAACCCCAAGAGTATGGCCCCCGGACACCCTTTTAGCTGAGTGGTGAAGTCACTCCTGAAGTACACCGTTCAGTCAGGGATTGGACAGCCTCATAAAACAAAACAGGACTAATGAGGCACAGCAGTCCAGGGACAAGGACTAGAAGGCAGGAGGGGACAGGAAAGCTGGTGATAGGGAACCCAAGGTTGAGTAGGGACAGTGCTGACATGTCGTGGGGTTGTTAACCATAGTCATAGGACAATATGTGTACTGTTTAATGAGAAACTATTTGTTCTGCAAACTTTCATCTATGTGAGATCAAATTGACAACGGCAACTCAGAAGGTTTGATGGGAAGCCTAGGGGACAGTCAGTGGAAGATAATGGTGATGGAATAATTTGGAAAAGGATAGTGAGAATAGCAGCACAGCTGGAAGAAGGTAATCAATGTCACTAAATTGTACATGTAGAAACTTTTGAAATAGTGTAACTTTGGCTATGTATATTTTCACCAAAAAAAAAGTCCTCCAAGGTCCAGAAGGGAGAGTGTTGACATGTCGTGGGGTTGTTGGTTCACTATTATTTACTCCCCATTGCTAACCACCACATTGTCTCATGATCTTGTTGCTCCAGTTTCTACAAAAGGTTTAACAGATGTTCCTCCTTGAAGGGTAGAACACAAGCGATAATGACCTAAGGATGAAAACCGAACAAAGCACCCATCTTGTGACAAGAAAAACCAGGATGTCACCAGATAACCCCCAAGAATACCAGTAGAAGATTAACTCATCTGAGACATGACCACCTCAAGGGGAAACTAACACAAACTTCTAATCCTGTCCCTATAAAAGCCTTCAGCCGATCTCCAGTGGGGGAGACGGGTTTTTTGGAGGAAGCTATTCCCCTCTGTCTCCTATATATTGACATATAATAAACCTCTTGCTGCTCACCTCACCCCGTCTCAGAATTGGCTGTTGCGGCAGGCAGCTCCAATCCGCGTTATTGCGGTAACAGTTAACCAATGTCATAAAACGATAATGTATACGGACTGTTTAAAGAGAAACTATTTGTTCTGTAAACCTTCATCTAAAGTACAATAAAAAAAAATTAGAACAAAAACGAAAAAAGACCCAAACCAGGGAAGACGCCGGCAGACCAGCTCCTCCCGCGTGCACCCCTTCCCCGCGGCCCCGGTTGGCTTGTGTGGTGGGCGGCACGGCCTTCACCGAGCGGTGATAGGCTGCTGGAGACCCACCCTCCCTCCCCAATTGGGCCCTGAGCGGGGATTGGTGATTGGTGGAGTCGCGGCTCTATTGTAGCTCCGGCTGGCGGTGGTGAGCAGAAATGGCGACTGCCGCTTGGCGTCAGGGCTGGCGTGTTGGGAGGTGGGGGCTGCGGCGGCCACAGCTGCCGCCGCTCGCCGGCCTCGTCTCCCAGCGGGCCCACTCGGTGTTGCCCGTGGACGATGCGATCAACGGGCTGAGCGAGGAGCAGAAGCAGGTAGGGAGATGGACCCCCTTCCCAGCCCAAAGGCCTCCTGCCCCCGCCGCTTCGGCCTTGCTGACGGCTCCGCGCTCTTCTGCCCAGCGCCCTCCCAGCCGCGGCTTGCGCCCGTCGGGCTCGGGGCGGAGGGAGGTGAGGCACTGGTCTTCTCCCACTTGGACCCAGGGCTGTGCCCTCAGCCTCACCTCTGCGGAGGAAAGATTTGAGCCAACAGAGGAGGGCCGAGGTAGGTGAGGAATAGCTAGGAGAGGAACGCGCTTGTGAAACTGGTGGTGTTTTGGTGAAGGCCTGGCAGGAGCTTCCAGCTCTGACCGGTTGCAGAATCATGTGTGCAGAGTAGAACTGCTCCATAGGATTTTCAAGGCTGTGACCTTTCGGAAACAGATCGCCAGGCCTTTCTTCCAAGGCGCTTCTGGTGGGTTCGAACTAATTACTAGCTGAGCGTGTCACCATTTGCGCCACCGAGGGACTCCTGTTTGTGGCAAAAGGGCCTTCAATCTGTATGAAGTCCACTTATAACTGACCACTGGCTAAGGCTCTGTTAATTAAACCTGGTTGATCCTCATCATCAGAGAATTGTTTTCGAATATTCACCTGGGGAGGCTCTGAAATGCACAGCGTGAGGTATCAAAACACAAAGTTGAACAAGAAATTGAAGTGTGTGTTTACAAATGGAGCTGAACCCCTGCCTTTCCTGAAGAGGGAGGTGTGTGTTCACTCTGCAGACTGGAGAGAGTTCCCAGGAAATGGGATTCTCCTGTGGCTCTAGGCAAGTAGATGAGCCTTTCAGGGGCTCCAAAGCCCATTAACAAAATCAAACCCGTTGCTGTCGAGGCAATCCCAACTCATAGTGACCCCATAGGACAGAGTAGAACTGCCCCACAGGGTTTCCAAGGCTGAAATTTTTATGGAAGCTGACTGCCACCTCTTTCTCCTGTGGAGCAGCTGGTGGGTTCAAACCGCTGACCTTTCTGTTAGTGGCTGAGCGCTTTAACCACTGTGCCACCAGAGCTCCTCCAAAGCCCACAAAACCAAACCAAACCAGTTGCCATCCAGTTGATCCCAACTCATAGCAACCCTACAGGGCAGAGTAGAACTGCCTCATATGGTTTCCAAGGAGTGGCTGGTGGATTCGAACTGCCAACCTTTCGGTTAGCAGCCAGGTGCTTAACCAGAGCACCACCACGGTTTCTACAAATCAGCAAATCAACATGTTTGAATCACCTCGGCCAAAAGCATGCCTTATTCGCCAGCTTTCCTGCCAAGAGTAGTTTCTACTCTCATTGTATAACCCCAGGCAGTGGATTTGGATGTTTTTTTGGTTTGTTTTGTGCAATCCCTTTATCAAAAGGCTGCGGCAGAAAAGAGCTTGCCTGCCAAGAACTGAAAGGGAAGTGGCTGGAGCACAGCAAGGGAGCTATAAAAACGGTGTGGCACAGGAGGTGTCACAAGGGGAGGGAGAATCAAGATCAGCGTCAAGAGCCCAAGACTGATTCTTCCTGGGGAGACGTCAGACATGGCTCCTCTCTCCATCTTTACCAACTCTGACGCCAACCGTCCCTCCCACAGCACTCTGTAGTTCTCTGTTGGGTTCGATAATTCATTGCAAAAACTCCACAGAACTCACCGACAAAACTCACAATTATGGGGTTTATTAGGGAAGTAACAGATTACAATGCAGGTTCAGGAACACTCAGGATATAGTGCTTCCATCAGGACAGCCTCTTCCCAGCCACGCCTGCAGGCGCACCTCTCTCGGGCCCTCGGCCTCTGCCCTACTTGGGCAAGTGTTACAAAGCTCTTTCAGCTCTGCGCATCGGGTAGGTGTTATAAAGCTCTTTTGGCTCTGCTGATAGGTATCCCACTCTGCCAGTAAGCCTCTCCCGAAGGAGCTCAGCTTTCTGGCTCTGTGGGTGGGAAGCCCACCACACTGTCTCCTGCTGGTTGGCAAACCTAGCTCCACCAAGTGTCCAGAGGTTTCGTACTCTGTCAGCAAGCCTTCTGCCCAAAGGCACTCAGCTTTCTTGCTCTGTGGGCCGGGAAACACCCTGCACTGTCTCCTGCTGGTCTCCTGTTTTGGCTGCCTCTGCTGCTGCTTCTCACTGTCTCCAGTGTTAACAGCTCTCCCTCTCTGTCCTGGTTCTGCTGCCTCTGTCTTCCACATTATAGCCCGCCCCCCTGCCCAACCCCTGTCTCCCTTTAAGCCTAGCAGGATGGCAAGACTGACCAATTCTCTCTTCAGGGTTCCATATACCTTCTTGCATGGCCCCACCCCCGCAAGGGTGCCATGCACCTTATTTACATTATTAGCAAGCCATCCAGTCCCCTTGGTGGGTCACAAGCACCTTATTTGCATAGTCCCACCCAGTCATTGGTGGGAGATAAAAAGACTATGGCTAGAAGGGCCATATTAAGTAATTCACTGCACCGCAGGAGGTAAGAAAGGTACTGGGGAAGGCTGGAGAGGTCAGCAGGGGTCAGCTCATGCAGGGCTTCTTAGGCCTGGGGAAGAACTTAGCTTGTTTTATTCTATGTACAAGGGGAAGACATTGAATTATCTTATGTAAGGGAGACGAGTGAAGACCATCTCTGAGGAAACCTAAACTAATGGAGCCTCTAACTTTCAGTCTGATGCTGTTTGGTGAGGTTATTTGAGATCTGGAAGACTGGGCTCTTTCCCTGAATGTGTCCTGAGTAGTGCAGGGCCGCCGTCAGCGCCATCATGGACTGGTTTCAGCAGCATCTGTCTAACTCTTTCACTCTAGCTTCGTCAGACCATGGTTAAGTTTCTTCAGGAGCACTTGGCCCCCAAGGCCCAGGAGATTGATCAGAGCAACGAGTTCAAGAAACTTCGAGTGAGTTGTGAGGCCCAGGCCTGGGGGCAGTGGGGCAGTCTGTGGGAGCTGGGCTAGGCTGGGAATTGCACTGTTGCCTCAAGGGCTCACTCGGTCTTCTGGGCAGTGAGGCCTCCCTAAGAATGTAGCTGCTTTCTCTGAAGCACTGAGGTCTCATTGCTCAAATATGCCGGGCACCTGTGACCGGCTGCCTTCTCACAGCTCACTCCATTCTGTTAACAGGAGTTTTGGAAGCAGCTGGGAAACCTGGGAGTATTGGGCATCACAGCCCCTGGTGAGTATCATCTTCTCCCTAAAGAGAACTTTTCTTGTGTGCCTTTTAACCCTCAATTATTTTCAATTATTTTCTGCTTTGAATTTTTTTTTTTTTTTTTTTTTTTTGATATCGTGTGTTTTCATTAGTGTAAGCGTGTTGAGTCATGGAGTGTGTTTACTTTTTTGGTTGGTAATATGGATTTGGGGAAATATTGTCTTTTACTCTGTGGTTATCACAGAACTTTTAAGGTTCTCAAACCCATACTTAGCAGTTGCCAGTCTGTACCTCTGGACTTGGTTGCTGATGTTTTTCATGGCACCTTCCATTAGGTTACCTGGGCAACCTCTGGTTTTCCAAATATGACACAAAAAAACAAAACCAAATCCACCAGGACTGCCTAACTGTCACACAGGAAACCATAAATATGTTTACAAGGCTTATCTAGAGGTACAAAAGCCAAAAGAGAAAACTTTTACCTAATCATACTTCCTAGTTGTACTACCTCACTCGCAAGTCTCATACCCCAGCTGTTTTGCTTCAACTAACATTTCTTTCCCCTTTCACCATTATGCAAGTCCCCACTGGAGGATAGCAAATACTTTCAGTGGTAAAAGTATACTCCCAAAGAACCTGAGAGCTGGAAAAAGTAGGTGGTATACCATATGTGGAGCCCGGGTGTTGCAGTAGTTAAGTTTTCGGCTGCTAACCAAAAGATCAGCAGTTTGAATCCACTAGCAACTCCTTGGAAACCCTATGGGGCTGTTCTGCTCTGTCCTATAGGGTCACTATGAGTCAGAATCAACTCAATGGCAGTGGGTTTTTTTGTTTGTTTGTTTTATACCATATGTACCATGGGTCATGAAAGGATTAACACAATTCCAAGAAGAAACAGGAAAGGAAAAGAAAGATCATGCTCAAAGAAACCCAGAGCTCCCTCTCTCTTGGAACTGAAGAAGCCCTCATTGACTGTCAGCCCACAGAAGAATACACGCTTCTATTTCTTTAGCAGTGATGGTCAAGGAGACAAAGATGAGGTCAGCGTAGTTCAGTTGGATTGAATCACTTTGGATTCAAGTGAACTACATTCTTAATGTATTCTGAATTCTGCATGCTTGATGAGCTCCCCCAGGTAATTTTGTTTGAGACTTTGGAAAACTTTAGATAAGACGGTTGTCTTAGCACCTCAGTCTTAATGCTTCCCCTAAGCCCTAAGCTCTGCCCTACCAGTGGCCTCTGGGCAGGAACACTCAGGTCAGGCGTGTCCCTATGGAGACTAGCTGTGCCCTTGGCCTACAGCGTGGCCCTGGAGCTCATTTGGTAGCAGATGGTGGAGGGGGAGGGAGGAGTCTATCTTGAGCCTGCCCAGTATCCCGTGTGGGTCTTCACTACTTGCTTCCAAGGGGTGAAGGCAGGGAGCTGGTGGGCTCTGTTTCAGGTGCTGGCCTCTGAAGCAGAGGCCCAGCCCGGCTTGCAGTGCCCAGTAAGGAGATGAGGCTGTGGCCGCACCAGCCACAGCCTGAACGGCCCATCCTGCTTCAACCTGTATCCACTCTGGGCATCAGAGTGGAGGTGGAAGACAGTCTGCTCCTTACATCATCCCCCTCGCCACCTGGAGGACCAAAAAACCAGTTGCTGTCAGTCAGTTCTGACTCATGGCGACCCATGTGTGTCACAGTCAGACTGTGCTCCGGAGAGTTTTCAATGGCTGATTTTTTGGAAGTAGATTGCCAAGCCTTTCTTCTGAGGAACCTCTGGGTGGACTTGAACCTCCAAACTTTTGGTTAGCAGCTGAGAATGTTCACTGTTTACACCACCCAGGGACTCCACTTGGAAGACAGTTCCTGAGATTTGAGTTGAGTCATGAGCACAGGTAATCCCTGAACTTAAAACAGGGTTTTGTTCCAACGAGTCTGTCCTAAGTTGGTTCTGACATAAGTTGAATACGTCATTTGTTTTTTTTGTTTTCATTATTATTGCCTTTTATTATCAGTACCTTTATAAATCATAACATTGAACATCCACAGGTGCACATCTGAGCATGACAACATCAGCAAATCTTTAGTAATGTGTATGTAGAACACATTACTAAAGAGAATATGTACCAAAAAACACCAAACAGACTGTCGTAAGTGCGGCTCATCGTAACTTGAATCTGTTGTAAGTCGGGGACTACCTGTAATAATTAAATGAAACCACTTAAAAATTAGTTTAGACCATCTTAATGTGAAATAGTAGGGAGGGAGATGCTGCTGGAAACTTCTTTTTTGTGTGTGTGGTAAATATATGTAACAAAACATTTGCCATTTTCACTTTTACTTTATTTAAAAAATAACTTTATTTGTAAACCCTTCCATCAGATAAAACTATAACCATCAGTTATAGTTTTATGACGCTAACAGCCAAGAGTTTATGTGCTTTCCTCTCATTCACCTTTTTGAAAATTTTATACACACACACAGACACACACACACACACACACATTAGGTGAATGAATAGCTCAAATAGCAGTTGATGTGATCACTGAAAGTACAAAAATACAGGCTAATTCGCTAGCTGAGTTCATTGTCCACACTTACAGAATACCAGCCATGGGTGGGACCCAAGGAGCTTGGGGTCCAGGACTGCAGTATGGCTCAAGAATCAACATTTTTTCCATGTACATCAGAGATGTTAAGCGCGTTCATCTTGTTGTTCAGCCATCATCACTCTCCTTTCCAAATGTTTCCATACCCTTAACAGAAGGTCAGTGCACTAGGAACTTCTAAAAATGACTCTAGTCGGATGACATTTAAGGTAAGGAAGAAGTAGTTAGAAATCAGATGAAAACCCTTTCAAGGGGGAACCTTGGAAAGAAAGCTGGACATGAGTTCTGGTTTCTGCAGGATGTCCTGGTGGTTGTGGGCTTTCCTTCCTGGAGTTGTGGGGTCTGCCCCACTTTCCCTAGAGTCTAGGACTACCCAGGCTTCTTGGTCAGAGTGAGCATGTGCAGAGACCCCAGCCAGGGTTCACCCAAACAGCATGATTTGGGAGTGGAGGGTTGGTACCAGATGACCCAGGCACTTTAATTTTGCAGCTGCTTCCAAGGTACCAACTTACTTTTTATGGGGAGTTCAGAACCTCCCTACCAGCATCCTTCCTGCCTTCTGCGGCGCAGCCACCCCCACATTCTCTCTCAGGATGTGGCTCCCCTCTTCCTTTCACGAGTCCCGGGTCTTTAGGCCCAGACCCGTGCTGTGAGAAGCTCACCTCCTTTCTCCTTTTGCACCCACACTCTTTGCTTTGTAGCCATTCTTAGTGTTTTGGATCCTTCCCCTTAGTGCGTTTCTGTTAAATTCCAAGTCCTCTTCATTTATTCACTTGCTTCTGTGCTTCCGGAACTTTCTCAAGAGTGGGTGCTCTTGCCTACTTTAAGAGGTGCGTCCAGTATAAAGCAAGAGTTGCAATGACTGTTTTCTGAACCACATGTCAGAGGACAAGGAGCAACAGGCGAAACCTATTCCATGAGCTTTTAAGCACAGTCCACGGAGTCAACCTGATGGCCTTGCTAGAAGTAGTTTGGAATAGGTTCTACAAGGAGGTGTATTTTCTGCCAGTAAACATAAGATTCTTATCAATGTTCCAGTTTAACCTGTGCTGCTGCTTCCTCTCCCCTGTGCCACCCCCACCCCCAGTTCAGTATGGTGGCTCAGGCCTGGGCTATCTGGAGCATGTCCTGGTGATGGAAGAGATATCCCGAGCTTGTGGTGCGGTGGGACTCAGTTATGGCGCCCACTCCAACCTCTGCATCAACCAACTTGTGCGCAACGGGAGTGAGGCCCAGAAGGAGAAGTATCTTCCCAAGGTGAGCAAATGGGAGTGGAGAGGCAACCACCAACCACTAGGCCCCGTCCCCCGTTGGCGAGAGCCAATCAGACTTGCTTTCCGTAGCCTGCTGCCCTGAACCAAATATGATTAGAAAGGGGCCAGAGATTTGCTTTAAAATAGTTCAGTCAAAAAAACTCAAAATAGGGCCAGAGCCCCTGGCATTGGAGTCCGTGGACAACATTTGAAGAGCATTTTTAAGAAACAGAAAAAGAGGACTAGCTTCCCTTGCAAAGGAGAGCCATTTTCAGCCTGTAGATACTGGGCTTCTCTCCTAGGACCTTACCAATGCCCTGGTCTGAGAGAGAGGTTTGAAGGGGTGTAATGTGAACAGGCAAGAAGCAGAATCAGAGTGAGCTCCCATAGGATACTTTTTTTTTTTTAAGATTTTTTTTTGGTGTGTGTGTGCTTTAAGTGAAAGTCTACAATTCAAGTTAGTTTCTCATACAAAAATTTATATACACGTTGTTATGTGACCCTAGTTGCTATCCCTATACTGTGACAGCACACTCCTCCTTTCCACCCCGGATTTCCCGTGTCCATTCAACCAGCTCGTGACCCTCTCTGCCTTCTCATCTCGCCTCCAGACAGGAGCTGCCCATTTAGTCTCATGGATCTACTTGAGCTAGAAGCACACTCTTCATGAGTATCATTTTATGTCCCATAGTCCAGTCTAATCTTTGTCTGAAGAATTGGCCTCAGGAATGGTTTTAGTTCTGGGCTAACAGAGTCTGGGGGCCATGTCTTCTGGGGTCCCTCCAGTCTCAGACCATTAAGTCTGGTCTTTTTACTAGAACTTGAGTTATGCACCCCACTTTTCTCCTGCTCCGTCAGGGACTCTCTGTTGTGTTCCCTGTCAAGGTGGTCATTGGTGGTAGCCAGGCACCATCTAGTTCTTCTGGTCTCAGGCTGACGGAGTGTCGGGTTTATGTGTCCCTTTCTGTCTCTTGGGCTAATATTTTCTTTGTGTCTTTGCTGTTCTTCATTCTCCTTTACTCCAGGTGGGTTGGGGCCAATTGATCATCTTAGATGGCCACTCGGTAGCTTTTAAGACCCCAGATGCCACTCACCAAAGTGGGATGCAGAACATTTTAATAAACTTTGTTATGCCAGTTGACCTAGATGTACCCTGAAACCGTGGTCTCCACATCCCCGCCCCTGCTACTCTGTAACCTCAAAGTGGTTGTATTCAGGAAACTTCTTAGTTTTTGGTTCATAGGGTACTTTTGAAGTCATAACAAGGCCCTTTGGGGTTTTCCTTGCAGCTAATCAGCGGTGAGTACATCGGAGCCCTGGCCATGAGTGAGCCCAATGCAGGCTCTGATGTTGTCTCCATGAAGCTAAAAGCAGAAAAGAAAGGTGAGGCTACTCTTAGGAACTGAAAGCGCAGAGGAACAGACTTTCTTGGGGTCTAGGGATCAACAGAGCCCTGGTGGCATGGTAGTTAAGAGCCTGGCTGCTAACCAAAAGGTCAGCGGTTCAAACCCACCAGCTGCTCCGTGGGAGAAAGATGTGGCAGTCTGTTTCTGTAGCGATTACAGCCTTGGAGACCCTAAGGGACAGTTCTACTTTGTCATATAGTGTCACTATGAGTCGGGATCGACTCAGCAGCCACGGGATGGAGCATCAGTTGGGAGTGGCCTCTGCTGGGTTTCCAGAACTGGGCAGCTTGCTCAGCCTAAAGTGTGTGGGCTGACTGCCTGAGAGAGGCCAGACAGCTTGAGCAAGCATCCCACTGGCTGCCCTTAGATGATCATTACATCCTGAATGGCACCAAGTGCTGGATCACCAATGGCCCCGATGCTGACGTCCTTATCGTGTATGCCAAGACAGATCCTGCTGCTGTGCCAGCTTCTCGGGGCATCACAGCCTTTATCGTGGAGAAGGTAAGCCTAGGTGGGAGTGTGTGGGAAGGTGTTCTTCTGACAGTGGTACCAGAGATGGTTCCCTTCCACCTACCACAAGCACGATCAATGTTGCGTGCTCTGCCAGCGCTCTCTGGGGTGGGGGTGGGAGTGAGGAGGAGGGGGCCCTTTGAAGGAGCCTGAAAGGAGGATGACCAAAAAGCAGAATCTAAGGAGTGCGGGGAGGATGGGCTAGGTCTGAAAACGGTGGGGCCGCCCACAGAGCCAGGCGAGACAAGGAGATCCAGGAAGAGGCCTGAAGAGAGGCTGCTGGATGTGGCAATCAGCCTGTTGCTGTCATACTTGAGGAGACTGGCTGCGGGGGACTGAGGCGTGAGGTGGACGGAAGTGGAGACTGAATGAAGACTGGCCCTTCACAAATGTTGGCAGTAAAAGCAGGAGGGAGCTAGAGCAGGAGTTGATTTGAAAAGTTGGGAGTTTGGGTTGGTTTTTAAGGAGGCAAACTGAGCAAATTTTTCGATATAAAAAGAAAAGAAAATAGGCAAGGGAGACACAGATGTGTAGGAGAGACTGAGCAGAACACAGTGGTGAGTTGGGGTGGTGGGTGTAAGGATAGGTCACAGGTGATAGCAAAGGGGACATCTGCCTCATGGCGGAAGTAGGGGCCAAGGCGTCTGTGGGGCTGGGGGAGCTGGTGATAATGAGTGTTGTAAAGGTTTGCAGTACTCTCCAGAGGATGTGGGAAAGTAGCTGACTCGGATTAGAGGAGAAGAAAATTGAACAAACAGGGCCCAGGTGAGACTGGAAATCACAAGGTTGTGTACCACTACTTTTGTTAGCTTGGAAGGGAAGGAACATGTCTTGCTTATAGGCTACTGGGCACCTGCCAGCACACATTGCATCTAATTAGCCCCGGCCAAAGCAAGCAGGTGGTTGAATTGATCCTGGATGGGACTCATTCAGGTAAGACTGGCAGCAAAACAAGGGGCACATGAATTGAGTGGGTTGCTGAGCGTGTCTTAGAAGTGATCTCCCCTGAGGGAGGAAACAGTCAGGGAGGGTAAGGAAGGCTCAGGTGACTGGGTGTTTCACTGGAAAGAACCAGTCCCATGAGAACTGGGGAGAACGCAAGCTAGCAGGAGAGGCGGCTGGCATCAGGGCAGGCTGGTAGGGCTGGAGGTTCCAGAAGTGAAGCTGTCTCTCTGTGTCCAGAGCAGGCGCTGGTGCACCATGAAGGTGCGGGGACTCGATAGGAGGGTGGACACCCTCTTCCTGGAGGCCTTCCCCTTACTCAGCCCCCTCGGGAGGGCTCATCTGTAATCAGGACCACCTTTTGTTTGCTGTGAAGGGCATGCCTGGCTTCAGCGCCTCCAAGAAACTGGACAAGTTGGGCATGAGGGGCTCTAACACCTCTGAGCTAATCTTTGAAGACTGCAAGGTTCCCGGTGAGTTTCTCTGAGAATGGGGGAGCCCCTGTCCTGACCCTGTCCCATGCTGCTATGGCTGTCCTCAGACTGAGAACACCCATTTCCTGTGTTAGCTCACCAATGACGTTGGCTGACTGTGGGCTTGCCCCTGTCGTACCTGTCCCCTGGCCCATATGTGTCCTCCTTGCAGTTGTATGCCTGACTGTGATTGAGATCGAGGGTGGCACTTCCTGTGTGGATAACACACTGCACCTAAGTTTGTCCTCCACACTTCTTTGTACGTTTGTCTGTACAGCCTGTATGAGTTCTTCATTAGTGTTGCCAAAAACCATCAGAATGAGCTGAGGGAAGCTGGACTCAGGGGAAGGAAGGCAATTCAGCTTGAGTGTGAGCATTTTCTCCCACAAGGTGTAATAGAATGACACCATGTAGCATCCTGGGGGAGCTGGTACACCCATCGCTTGTGAAAGAGACCTAATGAACCTCCAGTAAGGTTCACTCTGGGCCTCAGCCATAGATGATACTTCTCCCTCACGATCTGCTGTCCCCAAAAAGTGTGCTTTAGTTACAGGGAACATGGAGGGATAAGATCAGTGCAGATGCTTCTGTCAGCAGGAAAGGCAGGTGGGTGCTGTTCAGTTTTGTGTACTTGAGTTCCTGCCCGCAACCCCCAAGGCCATCCAGTGTTCTGGCTGACAGGGTGGCCAGGAGCTCAGCAGTTTCTGTCACTAGCACTGAATGGCTCACATCCTGGACAAAGAATCTTTCAAACACCACCCTGGGGACAATGACACTGGACCAGAGCAGACTCAACCTGGGAGGAAGAGTAAATTCTCTGGTTCCTTTATGGGTATCTGTAAAAAGAACAAGGGGGGGGCCTGCAACCTGCATGCACAGACCTTATGTGTCTCTCTGCCTTTCGCACGCCAGCTGATGTCTCTACCCCGAGTCATAGCTCTCCCCATCCAAGTCATTTATGGTGGCACTTGAGGCTACAAATCAAAGTGTCTTCGGTTCAAGAAGAAGTTAAAAGATGAGTTCCCTGGCCGCCTGGATATCGGCGGTGAGGGGAACCCGCCCCAGCCCACCGGCTTCTTTAAAGTAATGGTAGCAGGGAAGTTGGTCCACTCTGAGAGGTGGTGGCTATGTGGAGAGCAAGTTTCTGAAACTGGTAGCCACCATCAAAGCCGCCTTGGCTCAGGGTAACGTGCCCCGAAGGCAGAGCCCAGGGACCTAGGCCCAGCCCGGCAGACACTTCATGACAGGGAGGACTGAAATGTCTCCCAGATGCCAGGAACACAGGTTGACTCCTCTGGTCTTTGCCTCTGTGTGTGTGTGTGTGTGTGTGTGTGTGTGTGTCACACTGGCCTTGCTGTCCTCCTCTGGTTTTTGCCTCTGTGTGTGTGTGTGTGTGTGTGTCTCCTGGGAATCTAGCTTTCACACTGGCCTTGCTGCCCTCCTCTCCCTTGCTTCCCCACCCCATCTCCCTGTCTACCCTCAGAATCTGGGGAGGTCCCACTTCAGGCTTCTTCTCGAGGGGAACCCAGAGAGGGATTAGAATGTGTGGTGTGTGGGTGAGTGAGTGAGTGTCACAAATAGCGGCAACATTTACAGTGGTTCACTGGATGAGTTTAACAAAGGGAGGGGCGTGATGGCTTCTAGACTAAGCTAGCATCTCTCATTCCCCATCCATGGCCATCTCTCATTTCCATCCGCGGCCGTCTCTCGTTTCCATCCGCGGCCGTCTCTTGTTTCCATCTGCAGCCGCGGCCGTCTCTCGTTTCCATCCGCGCCGTCTCTCGTTTCCCATGTTTCCCATCTGCGGCCGTCTCTCATTTCCCATCTGCGGCCGTCTCTCATTTCCATCCATGGCCGTCTCTCGTTTCCATCCGCGGCCGTCTCTCATTCCCATCCGCGGCCGTCTCTCATTCCCATCCGCGGCCGTCTCTC